AAGCCCGACCTCAGTCCTGTGGTGTCATGAGATGTCTCCCCTGGAAGGCCTGAGGTCGTCGGGCAGAAACCACCCCACGAGACGAAACAGGCACGGTGCGCCCAGGGTATTTTCAGCAGCCCGCAAAGACATCTCCCTAACACAATCATAAAGCATCATTTAAAAAAAATTTAAATCATTTTATTGGGAGCTCTTATAGCCATCATAACATTCATTCACATCAAGCAGTGTTGTCTAATTGCGACCACAACCAGCAAAACATCATTTTTACTAGTGGCTTTAAACGAACAAAGGGGCCATGAAGGCAAAGGTTCCTCGGCTCATGGACATTGTGATGATCTTGAGCTACATTTGCCACACTGAGTTAGAACAGTGATGAGTGGGGGGACTTGGATGCTGGAATCTCAGGCCCCGTTCTCCTAGGCAAGACCCCTAAACTGCCCTCCCTCTGCTTTCTCACCAGGATCAGGGATATAATGATGTTGCTACCTCCCGGGGGGAGAGGAAAGGAGAGAAAACATATAAAAGTGGGCAGCCCCACACCTGACCTGTACCAGACACTCCCTGGGCATCATTAGTGGTCACAATGAACCTGATGCAGGTCATCCCTTTTGGCTTCTGACATTCCACTTCTAAAGTGGGGTCTGCAGCCTCAAGGGCTGGACTGAGCTAGGAGGGTAAGGTAATGTGATACGGCCAAGTGCCATCAGAAGGCACTATGGGGACCCAGGGTGCTCCTATCCTTCCTCAAAGCACCCGCCCACAAATCGGTGAGAGCCATCCTAGTCCTGGGAAACGCACAGTGGAGACTGACGCAGTTGGTGTGAAAACGCAGGGATGAGGTTCAGATGAGATTCTCTGCTCTTTTCATTTTCTGTCTCTTTAAAAAAATATTTTGGAAACATGCATATGACACGAGTTTTCCCAGGTTAACCGTTTAGTACATTGATATGATTGGATGCATCCCTCACTGCTATCCAGTTCTGAAATGTTCTCATCCTTTGAAAAGTAAGTCCCGTGCCCATCAGCAGCCCTTCCCCGCCCCCTACTCCGTGAAGCTTGTGGCAACCACTAATCTCACCTCCTGAGATTAGCTTCGCCCATGCTGAATGTCTCCTGTGAATGGAACGGTCCAGCATTGGTCTTGTCACGTCTGACTTCTTTCACTCCGCACGATGCTCATCCATGTTAGACCATGAGAACGGTTGGCACTTCCTTCTTCTTGATGGCCAAACTGTGTTCTGGGGCCACCTCTTGTCCCTCCTTTCATTCATTCAAGAGTTCATGGGTGGGGGGGGTTGTCTTCATTTTCCAGACATTTCATGAGAGCATCATCGCCATGAGTGACAAGCTGACCTTCTGCACTTTGAAGCTCTATAAGAACATCGTTCAGGAACTGCCGCCCACCCCTTCCAAGTTCCATTACATCTTTAACCTTCGAGACCTCTCTCGGGTTTACAACGGTCTCGTCCTCACTAACCCGGGGCGGTGAGTCTGTTCTGTTTAACTGAACATTGTCCCACAGGCGAATTAGATGGATCAGTGCCTCGATCGATTACCCAGTGCCTTTGTGTTTATGCTGTATGAAAAAGAGAGAGAGAGAGAACTATTTGTGAAACACTTCACTGAAGGCCTGCTGTTGGAAAGGCCTTGAGTTGAAAACAGTTGGGATCAAGAGGAGGAGCTGTGTGGACAGATGGGCAGGTGTGCTACACCCCTCAGTGGGACAACCTTGCCCCTCTCTCTGAGTCTTTCCATTAGAATGTTACCCGTGTGAAAGTTTTTACCCATGCAACGTAATTGTTGCCAGTTTCTAGCTGGTGGCCCTTGAGCGTCCTCAGGAATAGGCTAAGCGGTCGACAAGAAGGACTGTGGCGTAGATAGAGAAGTTTTCCCCTGAACACTGGACTCAATTTGTTAGCATTCGTGCACACGCTACATAGATTCTCAAGCCTCCTTCATTCATGCGACTCATATTCTGAGTCAACAAGACGCTGAAAATGCAGTGAATGGAGGCCTGTTTAGGAGCCACGCTCCCTCTCAGGATCCCTGGAAGGTTTGCAAGGGCCGGGAGGAGAGAGTGGTTCCCGCTATGCATCATGGCATGAGAGCCTCTCCCGACACCAGGGAAGGTTCCCAGATAAAGGCACATGGGGTCCAGGTGAACAGCCGTCTGGTTGAGTTGGCCTCAGCCTTCTGACCCTGCGGCCAGAAGAACCAGGTGGTGTGTGGCTCCCGTCGCCTACTTCTCTGATTGGAGTTCCAATGGAAGGTGCCGGGTGGAGCAGAAGGAACACGTGGAACAAAACGTACACACACGGATGGGCTTAGCTGGTCTGAAGGGAGGCTGATGGAATCTCTACGACTGCGGCAGCCTTCGGCTTGGCACTGAACTCGCCCCCATAGATCAGCTCTCAGCCAGAGGATAACTCTGTGAAGTGACCAGCGACCGTGACACCGGAACGGTCAACCACATGAGACCAAAGTGGCAGCGTGAACCCCAAGCCACCCTCAGATGGTTCGGAAGGGGCAGGAAAGGATGACTGGAAATGGGGATCACAGGGAGGAAGTGGGAAGACAGCCGTGATACTGTGGTGCTTGCAGTCAGTTTCACAAAGCAAAAGGGGTATGAATTGTTGAATGGAAAACTGATCTGCTCTGTCACCCACATCACAATACGCTGTCTCCCCACCAATCCCAGAATGAAAAAGGACCACTACCACTCATTGATGATGGTTTTCAGTCCTATATTCTACAAAGTAGGGGCGGGGCAAGTGTTCAACGGGAAGTGTCATGATCCAAAGGAGTCCTGGTGGTGTCGTGTGTGTGTGTGTGTGTGTGTGTGTGTGTGCGCGCGTGCACGCACGCGCCCATTGGGCTGCAATCAAACCACCAGCAGTTCCTGGGGAGAAAGACGGGGCTCTCTACTCCTGTCAACGGGGGTTCCCTGTGAGTCAGCACTGACTTGATGGCAGTGAGTTGGTTTATGTTATTTTTGGGACCCAGGAAGTTGGGGGGACAGTGCATTAAGCATTGAGCTGCTAACCGAAAGTCCAGTGGTTCGAATTCATCAGCCGCAGGTGAAGCAGTCTATATCCAACAGATTGACAGCCTTGGAGACCCAAAGAGGCAGTTCTACTCTGTCCTGCAGGGGCCCTATGCATCAGCAGTGGGTTTGGTTCTGGGTGGCTGTGACCCAAGGTGTGTTCGTTGGATGATTTTCGGAAGCAGGGAGATAGAGTCTTCCCCTGGATGGAGCAAATCTGGGCAACACTTCTGGCTCTGTGTCTAAAACTCTCAAAGTCTCGTGAGCAGGAGACTCGGAAGAAAGGCCTTTGGGTGTGTTGGACATGGAGTCCTGGTGGTGCTGTCAGGTGAGCATTCGACTGCTAACGGCAAGGTCAGCAGTTCAAACCCACCCGCCACTCTGCGGGAGAAAGATGAGGCTCCTGTAAAAATATGCAGCCCCTGTAATGCTTTACACAGAGGTCCCAGTGCGTCAGAATCAACTGGAGGACAGCAGGTTTGGTTTCGTTCGGTTTGGGGATGTCCGTCTGATGATGGTGCATTTTGCCTGGCCTCTGCCCACGTGACGGCACAGCTGACTTTGGCCCTTTTACTGCGTAGGTTCCAGACGGTTCCCCAGATGGTAAGGGTCTGGAGAAATGAGTGTCTGAGGGTCTTCCACGACCGGTTAATCAACGAAACCGACAAGCAGCTGGTCAGTACATCCAACTGCAGCCGCTGCCAGCGGGGCTCGGACTTCCCCATCCTTCTCCATATGAGCAGGCAGTATGGCCCATGCCCCCAGTGCGTTTCCCCCAAGTCATTCACTGCAGACACCCAGATGCAGGGAGCGTCACTGGGTAAAGGAGGTTTGGGGGATCAGGTCCCTTATAGCAATCGGGGAGAAAGCGGGTGCCCTCTCTCTGACAACTTGCAGCGCCTGCACTGTTGTACAAGTCTGGGTCTTTAAGGGGTCTTACATTTCAAGGTTCAAGAGCACATAGGACACTTGGTTGAAGAGAATTTCAGCGAGGACCTGGAGATGGTGATGAGGGACCCCATCCTGTTTGGGGACTTCCGGATGGCCCTGCATGAAGAGGAAGCGAGAGTCTACGAGGACATCCAGGACTATGAGGCGGCCAAGGCTCTGTTCCAGGTGTCCGTGTTGTCCCCCACTCCTTGGGCATGCTTCCCCCTTGGGTGGGTATGGGTCCAGCAGGGGATCCTGCTGCTGTCTCAGGCTCCACGCTTGGGTCTGACGCTGTGACGTCCCCATCGAGTGGTGCGCCACATGACCCGGGGGACTCGCTAGACACACAGACCCCCTGCAGCCCCACACATGGACGTTTGCTCACCAGGCCCATGGAGAATCCCCAAATCCTGGTGGGCAGCCAGCTTTGGGAGCCCCCAATCCTCCCTTAGGAGTCCTGGCCGGGCAGTGCATGATGTATTGGGCTGCCACCCACAGGGTCAGCAGTTCGAAACCACCCGCTGAAAGATGTGGCTTCCTTCTCCTGTCAAGAGTGACAGTTTGGGAAGCCCCGGGGTGGTTCTACTCTGCCCTGTGAGGTCGCCATGAGTCAGAATCGACTCGATGGCAGTTTGTTCATTTGTTTTTGATTCCTTGTTACCATCTTGCCTCGAACACCACACTTGGGGATCCTTTTCGGCTCCCCGCTGGCAGACCGGAGGACAGCAGATGGGTCGGCTGGTCAAGGGGTCGGATAAGTCTCGTCTGTCCAGACAACGCCATCATCCTGGCTGCTGTGGGCTTTTATAGACATCTCTTCTCTGTCTCTCCCGGGCAGAAGGAGAGTCTGTCTCCGAACATGCAGTCTCGCTTTGTAACTTTTGTGATCTTTCCTGTTTTCAGGAAATTCTTGAAGAGTACAATGAGAGCAACACCAAGATGAACTTGGTCCTCTTTGATGACGCCCTGGAGCACTTGACCCGCGTGCACCGGATTATACGGATGGACCGAGGCCATGCTCTGTTGGTTGGGGTCGGGGGCTCGGGGAAGCAGTCCCTTGCCAGATTGGCTGCTTTCACAGCCGGCTATGAGGTGAGGTCATCTCCCCTCGCAGACACGTAGACATGGCACAAATCAGCAACCGTCTCTGCCATTGTTCGTGTGGATCCCTGGGGGCATAGTGCTTACACTTTGGGCAGCTAACCGCAGTTCAAGCCCACCAGCTGCTCTGAGGGAGAGAGATGAGGCTCTCTACTCTCAGAATGAGTTATCATCTCAGAAACCCACAGGGACGCTTCTGTCCTGTGGCTATGAGTCCGAGCGCACTTGATGGCAGTGAGTTTGGAGTTTTGGTGTTGCCTCTGGCTCTCCAAATAATAAATGTTGCCTGGCCGGCAGCATCAGCTTGGCTGTGCGAATGTCAGCCTGTTGGTGGGGCCACTGCGTCGGCTGAGTGAGCGCCTTCTAAGGGGCCTCTTGCAGGGCTCCATCAGGCAGCGCTCTGTTGTGACCCAGCGTTCTCACTGGATGCTCTTTGGGAAGGAGGTCCTCAGACCTTTCCTCCAGGTCTGTCACTGTCTGGAAGCTTCCCTGAGACCTGTCCACCATGAGTGACCCCACGGGGGTTGGAAATGCCAGTCCCCTCGCTCCCAGGGTCATGGCAATACGCAGGCCACACCAGGAGGGGGTTGGAACAGTCGACACCAAACCAACCCCCCGTGTCACTTCCGAGTCCTAGAGCCGCTGCGGGACAGAGTGGAAATGCCCCGTGGGGTTTCTGAGACCCCCAAACCTACAGCAACAGGCCGTCTCAACTTCCTCCCATGGAGCAAAGGGGGGTTTGAACCGCCAACCTTGCACAACCTTGGGACAAGCTATAGTGAGTCCTAATGTGAAGCTCTCCTAGAGAAGGTTGTGTTCTGTGGTTGTTTGGGCTTGTTATTAACCCTCTCACTGAATATCACGAATAGCCAGCGGTGCATGAGTCTTGCAGTGGAGACAAGTCCAGCCAAGATCACACAGCAAATCCAAGTAGATCCTGCGAGCCGCTGGATGGGCTCACGTGGAGGAGGGCGTGGGCTGGGCCGACCTGAGGTGACCCCGAGTGGTATCGGCAGACACGGCCCAGGACCATCCTTGAAATGACATAGATGGCTCCCGGGACCCCCTGGAGCGGAGGAATGCACCGTGCATTTAGACCTGTTTTGTTCTGTTAAGATCATTTTATTGGGGGCTCTTACAGCTCTTATTGATGTCTATCCATACATCAATTCCATCAACCATATGTGCACATAGGTCGCCATCATCGCTTTCTAAACATTTACTTTCTAGTTGAGCCTTGGTGTCAGCTCCCTCCCCAGCCCCTGGACCTGGCTGAGATGAGGAGGTGTCAGGAGTCCCTCCCTTCTCCCGGGGCTCTCACTCATTCTCTGGCACTTGACTCCTCACTGCTGTTGTTACCACCACACTGGCTCTGGCTGGTCCACAACAGAACAAAACAGCGCCCAGTCCCGTGCCATCTTCGTGTATCTGTGGGTGGCCCCCCGGTGGGGACTAACTGCCACATCCGTCTGTCTCATGGAGGGTTCCTCTCAGCACCAAGCACGAGGGCCAGGTCAAGCCACCAGTCTTTCCCAGTGGCGTGACCTCTCTCCCTCCCCATGTCTAAGGAACATCCTCTTTGATATTCTTCTAAGGCCGATTTGCTGCTTCCTTTAGCGTCCACGGTTGTAGTCAGCGGTCCTCATCAGCATCGGATGTCCAAATGTGTCCGTTCTTCTCGGGTCTCCCCTGCTCATGATCCAGCTCTGTCGGATATGAGCTGAGTGAAAAGACCAGTTTGGGCCATGTGCCCTTCCTCACCAAGAGGGCAGCATGGATGTCTAGAACGTCAAAGGGGTTGCAGCAGATGTGCATGGCATGGGCAAGATCTTGTGGCGCGGTCAGGTCTTCATCCAGTCCTGGCGCCTTCCTCCGGTTCATCTGGCCACTCAGTCCCAGTGCTTGCCATCCGGAGCCTCCCTTCCCTCTGAGGTCCCCCGGTCTCCTCATTGCCAAGACACGTGGGGTGCCACAGCAGGCACTGGGGAGGAGTCCGGCCCCGGGTAGCTGCCCCTCAGTGGACCTGTCACAGGGCCGTGCACCCGCCTTTGTGTTGCCAGGTGTTCGAGATCCTTCTGAGCCGAGGCTACTCTGAGAACACCTTCCGGGAAGATCTGAAGAACCTGTACATGAAGCTCGGGATTGAGAACAAGACGATGATCTTCCTGTTCACAGATGCCCACGTGGCAGAGGAGGGCTTCCTGGAGCTCATCAACAACATGCTGACGTCAGGTACCCGGGTGGCAAGTCGAGACACTGACATCAAGGAGGGAGCCAGGGACCCCAGGCTTCTGCCGACCTTCAGGCAGGGCCCCATGGTCTTCTTCTCTTGGGAGCCATAGGGATTTACCTGCCATGCATCAGCCTGGGATCTCAGGGTTTCTGCCATGTCCTGCTATGGAAGCTGAGGAGGAGGGAGGAGGGAGAAGCCCAGCCCTGCTGTGATGAGGATTCCTCCCCTGCTCTTCCCTCCACGTCACATTCCCGCTGTCTCCATAAGCAGTCAGTGCTGCCGTATCAGAAGCACCACAAGAGGGTGGCTTTCACAAACAGAAATGTGTTCTCTCACTGTTTAGGAGGCTAGAGAACGGTATTCAAACGCATGGCCTTAGTAGAGGCTTCCCTCTCTGTCTGCTCTAGGGGAAGGTCCTTGTCTCCTCCCAGCATCTCAGGGTTTGGCTCCCTGGGGATCTGTGTGCCTTGGCATCCCTCTTCCTTTGGATCCAGGGGGGTCTCAGCGCAGGGGCCCTGGGTCCAAAGGGCTCACTCTGATCCGGGCTCTTCTTTCTGGGTGGTAAGAGGGCACACATTCTTTGCTCGCGTCTCTCTCCTTTACTCCTGTAACCGAAAAGGTCATGCAGGCCACGCTTCAGGGATACTCCCCTTAGATCAGATCAGGGCTGTGACCTGAGGAAGGTGCTGCCTCCCACCTTACGCCCCTCACATCAGATCAGGCTGGTCCACCTCAGATCACATCAAGGTGGGTGATGACATCTCACCTCGCTGCCAGATGACACTGTTACATAACTGCCCGCTACATCCTCGCAAAACTGCCCAGTTACAACTGCCCCGCTCACTGAGACTCCTGGCCAAACAAGGTGACACCCACGCTGGGGACACAATTCAGCCCATGACCGGAGAGGAGGCCCAGCACTGCTGTAGCCGCCACGCATCTCCCGTGCAGGGATCGTGCCAGCGCTTTTCCCGGAAGAGGAGAAGGATTCCATCCTGAGTCAGCTCAACCAAGAGGCCGTGAAGCACGGCACGGGGCCGGCCAAGGAGTCCGTGTGGCAGTACTTCGTGAACAAGAGCGCCAACAACCTGCACATCGTCCTTGGCATGTCGCCAGTCGGGGACACCCTGAGGAACCGGTGCCGAAACTTCCCAGGTACCCTGGGGCTGAGCCTGCAGCTCCGCCAGCAGAAGGAAGCTCGCAGGGTCCCTGCGCACCTGGAGTCCTATCACACTGGGTGGGGCGTCTCGTGGGTGTAGGCCCAGGGTGCCGCGCAACATCCCCCAGTGGACAGTTGCCCACAGCTAATGGCTAGCAGAGTGTGAGAAGCTCTCCCGGCCACAACTGAGACACAGATGGGTCCGGCTCCTTCCCAATCAGCTGGGGACAGAGCCAGGATCTGCGTGCAGCGTGCTCAGCTTTCCCTCTGTCTGTCTGTCTGTCTCTTCCCTAGGCCTGGTCAATAATACTGGCATCGACTGGTTCATGCCCTGGCCTCCGCAAGCCCTGCACGCTGTCGCCAAGTCATTCCTGGGTGAGTGGGAGCCGCTGGGACCGCGCTGCCGCCCCTTCTCTGACTCTGCCTAAGCCCCTGGGCAGGGAATGGTTCTTGTTTTCAATTTTTTAAATATGATTTTGGTTTATGTGGTGTGTTCCAAAGGGCCTTCAAGGGTCTTCAGAGAACGATTCAGGATAGCAATGGCTAGCTGCTGCTGCCACCCTGTCCTCCGGAGGGAGATGGGCCCGCCTGCTCCTGCAGCCTTGGTAGCTCTACTCCATCCTGCAGGGCTGCTGTGAGTCGGAATAGACTCTGTGGGCAAATTTGGTTTCGAAGATTTTTCAGAAGGACCCCCAGGCCTTTCTTCCGAGGCCCCCCGTGTGGACTGTTACCGCTAATCTCTCAGCCCCCGGCCCAGTGTGCTTACCGTTTGCACATACTTCCCAGGGGGTCTAAGGATAGTGTCCACTTCCGTGCCTGTTTCAGAGCCATTCGTTCCACCCGTCACACCGCAGAGCGGTCAGCACTCCGTTCCCAGCACGTCTTACCCCTGAGCTCAGCCAGACTGGCCAACAGCCGGGAAAGACAAGGGGCTTTCTGGCTGGCCCGAGACCACCAAGAGCAGTTGCAAGGCCACATGGAAACCCCTGCTCTGCTTCAAGGGGCATCCCTCTCACTCCTTCCCCTCCAGGAGACAACCAGATGATCCCAGGGGAGCACAGCGAGGAGCTGGTCAGGCACGTGGTCCTGGTGCACGAGTCCGTGGGGGAATTCAGCAAACAGTTTCTGCAGAAACTCAGGCGCAGCAACTACGTTACTCCCAAGAACTACTTGGATTTCATTAACACGTACTCAAGACTGCTGGACGAGAAAACGCAGTATAACATAGGTAAATCGTGGACACGGAACAGGGTGCCCTGGTGGAGCAGTGGGGTGATCGCCGGGCTGCTAGCTTCAGAGGTCAGTGGTTCTAACCCACCGGAAGGAAAAAGATGAGGGCGTCTGTTCTGGTCAAGACTGGCGGCCTCGGAAACTCTAGGGAGGAGCTCCACTCTGTCCTGCAGGGTCCACATGCATTGGAATCGGCTGTGCACCAGCGGGAATGGATTACTTTTTTAGTCTGGGGGTCAACTGGCTCCCTGGCGTCATGGCAACGTGTGATCTCTTCATCAAGTGGCCGTGCTGCCGAGAGAACGGCCAGGCAACATGCAGTTTGCATATTGAAGAGTCCTTCCTTGTGAGCCCTGACGGGCGCTTGGTTTGTCACTGTCAATCTTTGGACAGGCCCTCCGTAACTCTAGATGTTCTTCACATTCGAGATTTTTCTTCTTCTTCTT